GGAACTATTTACATTTCATTAGGGGCATTGTTGTGGTTTGAAAGTTAGGTACCCGAGCTTTAATATAGGACTTTCTGATACATTTGACAAACTTTTCGCCTTGTTGTGGTGTTAGAACTGACCTCATACATTTGATGTCATTTCAGATTTATTATTTGCAGCTAAATCAGTCTTCCTGAAAATGTGAGACAGCCTTCTTCTCTACATTCTAAAAACAGTTCTGTTTCGCTGTGAATACAACCGAGGGATTTTATCTTTATTCTCTTGAACTGTGATTATGTATGAGTCTAATGCCTGGTTTCTATCTGGATTTGTTCAGCACTTTGCCTTGTGCATGAACTGTGCCATACAAATAACCCTAACCCTAAGATAAGCTAAGGTAAACTTTATTGATCTCACAATGGAAAAAAAATGACATATTTACTTTGAATCTAGTTTATTATGGAATATTTCTTGTGACCACTGTGTGCTTTGTGACCACTCCTTACAGTCTGGAGGAGTCCCACGTGACTTTTACAGCCTACCCGCCCCTCGCCCCACTGCTCCACACTTTAGATCAAACCCATTCAACATCCAGGACTCTTCTTCTGTCTCTGCAAAAAAAAAAAAAAAATTGCGAAGGGAAAAATAATTCAATTTTCAGTCACGACGCGCAGCTGCTGAGGACTTTCCTGCACCTCTCCTCGGCTCATGCGCTGAAAATACACAACAACAAGGATCTATTTTCATTTAAAAACCATCTGGGATAAGTTTGCGATTTGCCAAGCTACATATGAAAGTGCTTTGGCTGCTGAAGGGGACGTGCCTCTGCGTATTTGCATTCGCCCATTACGCAGCGTTACTTTACCTGCTGCAGATAGCGGCATAAGGTAAGTTTGACTCCACGTTATTATTTTTTACTGCAGCAGCTTCTCAAGGCTAAAGACTATAATGTTAGACTTTGCTCCCAGCTCAGTCTAAGCTTTTCTAAATCCGGACAGAAACGTGAAACTCAATTCTCTCACACTTTTTCACAAAGCGTAAAAAGATACAAACCAAGCCAGGGGGCACCGCGCACTGAGGGAAAAGTTTACATCGGGAGTTATCTGCAAACATTAGCCTCAAATAAAACATCTGCAAGTGGTGTTTACTTTATGATTATAGTGATTCAAAAGTGCATTTAACACTCATTATAATTGAAGTAGGATCATATTATCAAACGACATATGGAAACGTCATTTTTTTCCCCACAGTAACTTTTGCAGCGAGGATTAAAAGTGGAATTGGAAGCAGCCTAGTAGCTTAGAGAGACACTGAAGGACAAACCAACATCCCTTCACTTATTAAACTAGTGTTAATCTTTAGCTTTGGGCAGAGCTAGTTCCATCTCGCACAGTTCCGCTATGTCCGGGAGACTCCCCTGCTTGCGCCATGTGTGGCTTCTACGCAACATTTTACGTAAACAGCGTAGGGCTCACGTGTTGCTGTAAGTGCCAAAATAAATACACCATTTGGCTGTTACTGTACTCTGCCTGATGACACTAATATGAGATGAATATTTCCGGGTAGTGCTTTAATCACAATACTAGTTTTGAGCTCAGATACACGTGTTTTATTGTCCGTTTTATTCGTTTGATCGATTTTTAAGTCGGTCGATGGTTTCTTAGCTGACCAAATATTTGTAGTCACTGTATGTAAATTACAAGATTACTGTGGGGGAATGGCAAACATCAGCAGGTATGTGTTAGCTGAAGAATTTAGTTTTTGCTCTGTCGTTTAAGCCAGATTTAAATCACGAGTTTAGTCAACCAGAATCTGACAAATCTGTTTTATTGATACATTAGTTGTTGTTGTTGTTGTTGTGATTTTATGCCTAAAGACTGTAAAATTAGGTTCTGATAACACGGGTTTTGAGTGTTTTTGTCCCTTTGTATGCTGATTACTGTCCTAGATTTAGAATAATAATAATAGATAATAATATAGTGTAATCATGGCAGCTCGTTTACAATATTCAGATTTGAGCTTCGACCTTTGATGGCTACGAACCCACAATGTGAAGGAGTTGCTTGATCAATAATAACTCGACCAAGTCCTTGTCACTGTTCACTAGACCTGGTGCACAGTCCACTCATAAAACCAATAACTCTGTGTTTACACTTGGCCAACCTCGGCCTTTTAAAACTCAAAGCCCGACACACAGTAAACAACAGGCCGCTGTGATCGTCGGTTTCTTGTGTATTTAATTGTAGCTTTTGTCCAAACAGCCACGAGGCAGAGGTAAATAAAAAAGTCTGTTTTGCCCCCGGTCACAGCCTTTAGGAGCTGTTCCTGTGACAAACTGCAGTCTCCACACAGCAGCCAATAACAGGAGACATCATCATTTCACACAAGCGCACTAAAGACCAGGTTTTACCGACGGGACCTAAGGCCGGCTCCTGATCCCAGAGGTTTCTAATTCACTTGGTTTGACAAAATGTTGGACGTGTTTGCCCCAGTCTCAGATTCTTTCAAACAGAATCTGACTCGTTGTTCTTCACAAATGATCCTAATTGTATTGATGGGTTTACACTGTACTCAGAAAGTAACAAAATGTTAAAAACAGAGACAGAACAAAATAATCAGTTTTATACAGCGCTTCTTTCACTCCAAACACAGTGGTGATAAACTACTACAGCCACATCTGCCCTGGGGCACACTGACCAAAGTTAGGTAACCAGTCTGTGCCATCAGCCCCTCCCACCACCAACCATTCACACACACCAGACTCATTCTAATGTGGGGTCCCATCACGGCACTAGCCAGACACTGCCCTGCTTAGCTTCAGAGGTTAGACAGGATCTGGCTTTTGCATGCAAGTTTGGCCACACGTAGAAAGGAGTAACATTATAAAAACAGAGATTGAACAATAAACTATTTTATTCAAATATGACGATTTTCCTGAAGACAAAACAAAACAAAACAAAAATAGCCCAAAAAAATAAATAAAGTGCGTTGTGTTTGCTCTTATGAGGTCACTGTCACTGATGTTTGTGACCTTCTTTAATTGAGAACCTCCCAGACTGTGAGGTCTTGAGGGATTTGCATGTTCTTCCTGTGCTTGAGTGTGTTTCCTCGGGGTGCACCGGTTCCTATCAGTGTAAACTTCCACACAACGAGCTTCAGTCCTGACCATGTCCTGATCTTTAGAGACGAGAGATTCAGTTTGAAGTGTTTTTCACTGATGAGAACTGAGTAGGGGTGGGAACCTAAGGGTACCTCACGATACGATACACGATACAAAGCTCACGATAACGATATTATCACGATAACGATTTTATCACGATATGACGATTATCGATATATTGGTCAGAAATATACAATATGCCAATTTATGGCATAAATAAAATAAAAAATACACTTTATTTCATGATAAATGGAATGGAGATGCATAATGTAGCAATACATTAAGTATTGATACCAATTTTAAAAAAAAATTGTGATATCGATACTTGGCAAATGCATATCGATAATCGAATCGCAGGAGAAAGTATCGCAATATATCGTCACACCCCTAGAACTGAAGGTTTTTCTTTCTCTCTGTCTCTCCCTCTCTCTCTTTGTCTCTGTGTGTCTCTCTCTTTCTATCTCTCTCTCTCTGTGTCTCTCTTTATTTCTCTCTCTCTCTCTCCTTCTGTCTCTCTCTCTCTCTCTGTCTCTCTCTCTGTCTCTGTCTGTGTCTCTATTTATTTCTCTCTCTCTCTCACTCTCTCTCTTTGTGTCTCTCTCTCTCTCTCTGTCTCTCTCTCTGTCTCTCTCTCTGTCTCTGTCTCTCTCTCTGTCTGTCTCTCTCTCTCTCCCCCTCCTCGGTTGGAAGCTGCCAACGGTGAAATATGTTTTGGATTATTCTCCGCCCACTGTCTCCATCTGCTCCTTCTCTCCTCTTTCTGCAGACAGTTGAAAATAACTGGTTTTATCTTCATGGTGTGGGACATAGACGCTGGTGTTTCATAATCGTGCAGGTGCAGAGTCTGTTGCGTCGCTGTCACTTTAAGACTTTCGTTGCTTCAAATAAATTTTCATCTTGTGCCGGTTTCCTCTCAGGAAACTTTGTGCTTTGTTTTTATCGTCTATTTTTATTCTCCCTCTGTTCTTTGTGGCACCTTTAAGCGAAGCCAAAATTGAGATAATCAGTCTTTTCCTTTTGTTCCGATGTTGCCAGATTAGTATTTTTTTAAGCCTCATTTCTTGCTTAATGTCATTTGTCAAATTTTAAGATATTAAAGAAGCTGTTTGGAAAAATCTGGCCAAAAGTGGTGCTGCAATCACGGTCAATAATCTGTCATCCTCTCCCACTCACCCTGACTCAGGTTGTCTCACATTTTGTCTCATATTGTTATGACACAGACGTAAAGACATTTCCTTTTTCTCTCGAGTACATGAACCTTCTCTTTTAGAAGTTGCCTAATGATTGACTTGGTTCCATTCAGAGTCTAATCTAATCTGAGCAGATTACACATGTTCTGCTGTGATGACCTCAGACTGAGGTTTGTTCAGAGTAGAATGGTCACTAAACTGCTTCAAAAAGTTCAACTAACAAAGAGCAAGAAGTTTTAACGAATGGTTTCAACATTTTCTTTCTTCTGATTGATTTTTGTGTCTTCTAGAGCCTGAAATATACTCAGATTTAATTGAAAAATTGTTATTGGTTAAAGGGGTAAACTTTTTCAAGTCACTGTGATTCATAAAGTCTCCAACAAAATATATTTCAGGTGCATGGACAGAAAGACTTCAAACTATAGATAGATATGTTTTTACTATAGTGTCTTATATATACAAGGATGCCCCGCCCACATGGTCTTATAAGATACCATTAACACAAATACAGAGACACACAGGTCAACATCAGGCACATAAACACAATCCACAAATAGTGAAGAATGTGTGTGTTGTAAATGTAGTTTGTATTGTTATATATATATTGTGTACATGGGTAAATGACACAGTATTACCTAATATTGTTACTACTCTTGCCTGTTGTAGAAATGTTGTCGCGGCTGAGAGAGCAGCTGTGGGCGGACTGGATCTGGTTCCCCGAGGGTCACGGCTGGGACGACTTCCAAGACCGAGGCGATGGAAAAGTCTTCCCCCAAACCTCGGACCTTTGGGCCACGCTGCCCATCGCCCTCTGCTTCCTGCTGCTCCGGCCGCTGTTCGAGAGGTCAGACACGTCCTCAATACACACATCTGAGGGTCGGAATAATGTAATACACAATTATATTCAGGTTGGTCTCTCTCTGGTCTCTCTCTGGTCTCTCTCTGGTCTCTCTCTGGTCTCTCTCTGGTCTCTCTCTGGTCTCTCTCTGGTCTCTCTCTGGTCTCTCTCTGGTCTCTCTCTGGTCTCTCTCTGGTCTCTCTCTGGTCTCTCTCTGGCCTCTCTCTGGTGTCTCTCTCTCTGGTCTCTCTCTCTGGTCTCTCTCTCTGGTCTCTCTCTGGTCTCTCTCTCTGGTCTCTCTCTCTGGTCTCTCTCTCTGGTCTCTCTCTGGTCTCTCTCTCTGGTCTCTCTCTCTGGTCTCTCTCTCTGGTCTCTCTCTCTGTCTCTCTCTCTGGTCTCTCTCTGGTCTCTCTCTCTCTGGTCTCTCTCTCTGGTCTCTCTCTGGTCTCTCTCTCTCTTCTCTCTCTCTGGTCTCTCTCTCTGGTCTCTCTCTCTGGTCTCTCTCTCTGGTCTCTCTCTCTGGTCTCTCTCTCTGGTCTCTCTCTCTGGTCTCTCTCTGGTCTCTCTCTCTGGTCTCTCTCTCTGGTCTCTCTCTCTGGTCTCTCTCTCTGGTCTCTCTCTCTGGTCTCTTTTTCTGGTCTCTCTCTCTGGTCTCTCCTCTTCTGCTGTGAAGTCACTGCTGACGAGTTTTCTTACATTGACACATTTACAAAACTCCTGGTTTTTATATTATCTAACCTTTGAAAGACTTCTGGTAAAGATAAACAGAATAAATCAGTAGTTAAGGGACTTCACAGGAGGCCATTTCAGACACACACAGAGTCCATACAACCCAAAAACATACTCTTACTTTTGTTGTAGCATCTTTTTAGGACATAATATGATTTAACTTCAAAGCCAAAAATGAAGAAATGTGTCTAATGAATATCAGTGAACGCCTCTTGTTTTAGTCTCTTTGCCTTAATGGAGCTATACCTGTTTCTGCACGGTTTTAATGTCTAGCCCCGCCCCCAACTCGCTCACAGGCTTCTCATTTCCCCCGGAGCCATCTAGTTTTATTTGTGATCCGATACATATGCTAACATTAGCATTAGCACAACTTAAGCTGTACAACAATCACTGATGAAATGGTACAAAAGCAACGCACTGCTAACAAAATATATAACTGAAAGATTACCGCTAGTTTCAGGTCCGAAGGCAGTCAGAGCGTAGATAGTCCGAGCGTAGATAGTCCGAGCGTAGATAGTCCGAGCGTAGATAGTCCGAGCGTAGATAGTCCGAGCGTAGATGGTCCGGGCGTAGATGGTCCGGGCGTAGATGGTCCGGGCGTAGATGGTCCGAGCGTAGATGGTCCGAGCGTAGATGGTCCGAGCGTAGATGGTCCGAGCGTAGATGGTCCGAGCGTAGATGGTCCGGGCGTAGATGGTCCGGGCGTAGATGGTCCGGGCGTAGATGGTCCGGGCGTAGATGGTCCGAGCGTAGATGGTCCGGGCGTAGATGGTCCGGGCGTAGATGGTCCGGGCGTAGATGGTCCGAGCGTAGATGGTCCGAGCGTAGATGGTCCGAGCGTAGATGGTCCGAGCGTAGATGGTCCGAGCGTAGATGGTCCGAGCGTAGATGGTCCGAGCGTAGATGGCGAGCGTAGATGGTCCGAGCGTAGATGGTCCGAGCGTAGATGGTCCGAGCGTAGATGGTCCGAGCGTAGATGGTCCGAGCGTAGATGGTCCGAGCGTAGATGGTCCGAGCGTAGATGTCCGAGCGTAGATGGTCCGAGCGTAGATGGTCCCGAGCGTAGATGGTCCGAGCGTAGATGGTCCGAGCGTAGATGGTCCGAGCGTAGATGGTCCGAGCGTAGATGGTCCGAGCGTAGATGGTCCGAGCGTAGATGGTCCGAGCGTAGATAGTCCGAGCGTAGATAGTCCGAGGCGGTCCCGCAGGTCTCTCCCATAGACCAGTCTCTCCAGAGGATACGATGTAAGCTAGCTCTGTTCAGGGCTTGGTTTCTTCTTTGATCATGTTGTGGCTTTAGTTCCTCTTCTCTTCCTCACTGTTGTGTGGTTTGGGCTGTTTTGCTGTGTCTGCAGTTACAGCCAGAGGAGTTATAGCCACTGATGCTAACATGCTACTGTGTTTAGCAGCGCTGTAGAGGCTAGAGGACGCAGCCTCGTTCTGTGATTGGAGGAGAGCGGGCGTCACGCTAAGTCTCTACTCAGCACTTTTTACTGAGTTCATCCACAGCTGAATCAATGAGCTCAAGTTTTACATTAAATTACAGATTATAATACAACCTGTATGTAGTAATAAGCATTTTTATGAACTCATTAGAACAAAAATCGGGTATAGTATCTTTAAATGAGACAAGAGAAAAAACGCAGTAAAACATTGTGTGCATTTTTTTTTTTGTAATGCAAACATTTGTCTTGTATCATTTGTGTTTCCCACCGCCTGTTTTCACTCCTAAAAGTATGTGTTTTGTGTTTTTAGGACAATCGGGAGTCCTCTGGCCGCTCTGCTGGGAGTGAGGGACAAACCCAGAGTCTGTGTCGCTGCAAATCCCACTCTGGAGTCGTATTTCAGGACGTCCAAACATCCCTCGCAGGTATCACTGTCCACACGCCTTAAATCCAGTGTGAAAAGAGCAGACGGAGATTAAAGGGGACACTCTCCTTGACCTGTGACCTTGTTGTAGCTGTTTTTCCAGGTAAAATGTCACTCAAAGCTGTTTTTAGAGTGATTCAAGCATCTGCAGTAGTTTGGTAAAAGGGTTTTGTCAGATTTACAGCAACACGTCCGTTTTTTTCTTACTTTCTTTGCCAATTTTTCTTTCTTAATCTGGGATAAGCTGATGATTCACGTGAGCTGCGGAGGCATTTTTGCTCAAGGAGAAAAAAATGGACTCTGCCAACTGGAGCCTTTGATGTGTCCACGTAAAGAGCGGGGCATGGACCAATTTCTTAATTTCAGAGCCCATTACATACTAAAATACTAACGATATCAAGCAGAAACATAAATAAATCTCTGTCACCGAATGGCTGCAGAGTAAGTTTGTTTACTAGGATTTCATGACATTCTCTAAAGCCATCACATGCAGGCTCTAAATATCTAGTGTCATAAACAGACAATGCCCTTTACTTTGTGCTTTTGTGGGAGATTGCGGTAAAGTCGCCTCCGTGTCGTGCCTTTTGTCCACAGAAGTCCCTGGAGAACTTGACTAAACAAACTGGTTTATCAGCGCCGCAGGTCCAGAGGTGGTTCAGGCGCCGGAGAAACCAGGACCGGCCCAGTTTAGTCAAGAAGTTTCAAGAAGCAAGGTGCGTCTAAATATCACCATAACACCATGTTGATTTAAATACTGTGTAATAAACCTGCTAGAATTCTGTGGAAAGGGTTGATGTTGTTTTTCAATCATTTCAGAACAGGAGCTTAATCCATATAGAATTATTTTGACTTTCACCAATGACAAATTATATGCATTTCCAATCCGGGTTAAAAACAGTAGGATTTTGTCTTCACTCTTTTTAATGCACTGTGGACCTGATGGGTTGTGACCAAGCCCCGGTGAGCCAAGATGGCGCCCTATTCAAATGAACAGCTTGTGCTCAGTAGCGGATAGGACTTACACGGGGACTGAAAGATTAGCAGAACTCAACTGTATTTGGGCATCGTCTGGTCCTCCCGGTTCTGCGCACTGGACGAGCTCCCATGATGCATTGCGCCAAATACGTGTGTGTGGCTCTCATGCACGTGCACAGAGGGGCTCGGCCGTGCTCTGACCAATCAGAGCTGATCAGAGCAGCAGCAAACAGCAGAGTTTGTGGCAGTGAAGTGTGGATTTAAAGAAAGTTGAAGAATTTAAGAAGAAAAAAGTTCAGGAGGAGGAGAGGCAGTAGAATCCCCACACAACACGACCTTTATGAAAGCTGTAGGTTCTCTGTCAGGTTCTCTGTCAGGTTCTCTGTCAGGTTCTCTGTCAGGTTCTCTGTCAGGTTCTCCGTCAGGTTCTCCGTCAGGTTCTCCGTCAGGTTCTCCGTCAGGTTCTCCGTCAGGTTCTCCGTCAGGTTCTCCGTCAGGTTCTCTGTCAGCTGAGGTTGAGCTGTTTTAATTTACATTGAGTTCTATGGGACTTTCTTCTATAGCCCTCGTGAATTTAGTCTGCAGTACCACAGCGCCCCCTGTGGCCGTTGGTGGAACAGCTATGAACTAGTAATACTCCATCCAGATATTATTATAGATCCATGATTGTGAGGTGCTTTGTGTTGCCTTGTATTTCATCATTTTTATTGTTTTATTCCTATAATATTTTCTTGTTCCCCAATGTTCTTTCTCTGTCTAACCGTCCTGGCTTTCTTCTGAATGAATGATGCTGTTTAGATAAATGGATAGATAGATTCTTTATTGATCCCTCATCGGAGGTGTCCAGTAGCAGCAAAAACAAAATGAATCATTGCAAAAAGCTAACATGAGTAAATACAGTTTTTCTCAGTGGCTTTGGGGCCTTTCCCACTTCAGACCTAAAGTTCAACCTCCACAAGCAGTTTCTCATTCCTTCACTGTGCCTTGCCTTGTGTAGAAAAGGCACCACACATACTATTATACGCACTATAATGAAGTCAATTGGTTTGATGTAGAGGAGTCAGACCCACAGGTGTCGTGCTCTTGGGCCAGACACTTTCCCAGTCTCTCCCATTGTCGGCGTTCACTGCTTTACCGATATGTACTTTTATACTTCAGGTCGATCTGTCCATGACTCAAAACTCTCTTCTTTTGTTGCAGCTGGAGATTTACGTTTTACCTTTTTGCCTTCTTTGCCGGGCTGGCGGTGCTCGTCGACGTGAGTACCGCGGTTTGATTCCACTCTCATCTGGATTAGAAAAAGTGCATTCATTATTAATCTCCTACTTTTCTCCATTAGCTCGTTCTCACTGTTATTGCTTTGTTTCCTGTTTACTCAGAAACCCTGGTTTTACGACATGAAGATGATGTGGGAAGACTTTCCAAAAATGGTGCGTTTTTCATGTTCTGCTCCAAAAGGTCATTTATTTAGTTTTGTTTATTGTAATTTGTAGAAGTTGCAGTTAAATCATGGTTTGTGTTAAACTTTGCATTGTCTGTATTTAGTCCTAGTTTTTTAGTTCTGATTTTTAAGGTGGAAGTGAACGGATGCATCACAACAATCTATGATCATGAAGTAGTAAACTCTTTTAGTAACGGAATTAACGTTTGTCGACCTATACACAGAATAACCCTTGTTGGAAAGACTATTTATCCAACCCAATCCACTTTATATGATTATATGATTTAAATGAGAGGATTCATCTCAAGGGGTTTTCCTTAATAAACTTATATATACAGCACATTTTATATAAGTTTCTGCATTTTTTCAAGTGCTGCACAGAGATAAAAGTCACACATTTAAAAAGACAGGTTTGACAGCTTTTATATGTTTATGAAAATAGAATAAGTTAAACATGTACAAAATAAAACAAAGAAATACCAGTTTATGAGCTTTAATCGCTGCAGGTTGACACAGTCACACCAAAGGCTAACCACTGAACTAATCAAATACCATAATACTAATAGAATACAAACGCGATTCAAAAACAAGGTGTAGAAAGTAAAAACACAATCAATCGAAACACATACAATTATAAATATGCATATAGTAAATTACTGCCCTATTATAACGTTTATTATCTTACTTTTCGATCAGGCCTTTGCAAAAATGTTGTTGTTTGTGACACAAAACATGTCCCGTTCAAACAGTGTTTAATATTAATATAAAGTGTTGTCTCTGGTTCCAGCCGCTGGTGCCGTCTCAGTACTGGTACTACATGATTGAATTGGGATTTTATATCTCGCTGCTTTTTAGCGTGGCGTCCGATGTCAAAAGAAAGGTAAGCAGATCCCCGTCCACGTAAATGAAACCGTCCATTACGACACTTGGCGGCTTCAAAACTCTATTATAGCGACGGAGATGTCTGGGTTTTCCATAGTTTATAAACGATGAAGCTGAGAAAGCTGCGGGTAATGGACTCTGAAACTGCTCTGAGTGGCGTTACATTCATTACTTTCTTCCAATTAACATAGAGTAGGATTTCTTCACTGCCCGCTAAGGTCCGTGCATGTATATGAAGAGATTTGGGCTTCGTTGGTTTTGCCGTTTTGAGTTTTGGTTCAAATACAGTGGAGGAATGGGTCAGCACTAGATCATATACGGAGTCGCGACGGAAGCTGAAGTGAATATAACCAACTACCTAAACTAATAGATCCATGCCTAAACTTAACCAGCCATTTCCCTAAAATAACCCTAACCCTTAACCCTAACCCTTAACCCTAACCCTTAACCCTAACCCTTAACCCTAACCTTAACCATCTTACTCAGACCACCTTAACCCTAACCTTAACCATCTTACTCAGACCACCTTAACCCTAACCTTAACCATCTTACTCAGACCACCTTAATCCTAACCTTAACCATCTTACTCAGACCACCTTAAACTTAACCAGTCACCATTTAAGGACTTATTAGTCTAAAACTACTGCGAAAATAGGGTTGTTACTTCCGCTTTCGTCTCGATTCCGTTTATGATCTTGTGCCGACCGGTCTGAATGTTCTTCTTATTCTTGTATGAATCGACACCTTTTGATCTGCTGCCGTTTCATAACTGTTCTGCTGCTAATCTCCTAAATCTGTTGCTTTTGGGTCAAAACAAGTTTATAAACCGGGAGTTTGTGCCGTGACCGCATTGTTGGAGTGTTTCAGCGTGTAGCAGCAGCAGACGTTAGCAACAGATCATGAAGTCAATATAATGCATTGAATATGGGCAAGTTTATTTGTGCTGCACAGTTCATACAGAAGGCAACTCAGAATACAAGGCATTCAAATCATAAATAACCACAGAACATTAAAAAGACAAAAAGATAAAACCCCTCATTTGTAGCAGATAAACTGTTTTTGATCTGGAGAAGAAGCCGGTCTCACATTTTCAGGAAGACTGTTCCAGATTTTAGCAGCATGAATCTGAAATGCAGCCTCCCCATGTTCTGACTCTGGGACCAGCAGGAGTCCAGTCCCTGTGCTCCTCAGAGTCCCAGCAGGAGTCCAGTCCCTGTGCTCCTCAGAGTCCCAGCAGGAGGCCAGTCCCTGTGCTCCTCAGAGTCCCAGCAGGAGGCCAGTCCCTGTGCTCCTCAGAGTCCCAGCAGGAGGCCAGTCCCTGTGCTCCTCAGAGTCCCAGCAGGAGGCCAGTCCCTGTGCTCCTCAGAGTCCCAGCAGGAGGCCAGTCCCTGTGCTCCTCAAAGTTCCAGCAGGAGGCCAGTCCCTGTGCTCCTCAGTTGTAAATGTGTGACTCTAACTTTAAACTTTCTAAAACAGTTGTTTGTTTGTAGGACTTTAAAGAGCAGATCGTTCATCACGTGGCGACCATTTCTCTGATCGGGTTTTCGTGGCTCGTGAACTACATTCGAGCCGGGACTCTGATCATGTTGGTCCACGATGCGTCGGATTATCTGATGGAGGTGAGACCACGAGACCGAGTCCAAACTAATGGTATACAGTGAGACCGAGTCGCAGTGAGACCGAGTCCAAACTCACATCAGAGTAAATGTTTTGTATCAAAGATTGAATTCAGAGAAAATGTCAAAGAAATTGAAACCTGTCAAAGAAAAAAAAACATCAAATCTTAAATGTATTTAATCTGTTCTGTTCAGTAGAATACGACTATTAATAAATGTGATATATTTATAAACTTTAAATCAACAGTTTATCCTGAAGGGCAAAGGGGATGTTTACTCTACTGCCCCCTATTGGTGACTAAAATAACTCAATTCAATCTCAAAGGACTTTACAAAACTGTTGATTTCTCCAACAACAGATCAGAGAATCAAACACAGAGAATATAGAACACATGGTATCGGACCATCGACAGTAGCTCAGTTGGTAGAGCATTGGCCTTAGAGCCAGAAGGTTGTGGGTTCGATCCCACCGTAAGACCTACTTCACGACTCTCACTGATGTCTGCTGTCGTTGTGTCTTTGGGCAAGACACTTAACCCCACTTTGCCTGAAGCTCCCACTGAAAGCTCTCAGCTCCTGTGGACCTGCAGGAGGATTAGGGAGGGGCTGGTGCTAAGTGGACTGGGTGCAGCTCTGACTGCCACCCCCCCGACCCAGAAATGGATTAAGGGGAAGAAAATGGATGGATGGATGGTATCGGACCATAGGGAGAGGCCAATGTCCATGAAAGTTGATAATTATAAATCTTTCTTCTTCTGCAGTCGGCCAAAATGTTCAACTACGCCGGCTGGAGGATGACGTGTAACATCATCTTCACTCTGTTCGCCGCTGTGTTCATCGTCACTCGACTCGTCATCCTGCCCTTCTGGTAAAACACGGTCTCCTGTTAGTCATGTTTATTGTAATATGTTGATTCTACAGTACTTTACTCACTGCTCTATCCTCGGTGAGAACAGGACTTTTGCATGTTCTGCCCGTGTCTTTACAGGTTTCTTATTCTGCTAAAAATATGTAAAAAATTTCTGTGTGACCGTAAAACTTTTGAGTGTTGTAGTCTAAACCAGAACCGGACCAGGACAGGACCAGGACAGGACCAGGACAGGACCAGGACAGGACCAGGACAGGACCAGGACAGGACCAGGACAGGACCAGGACAGGACCAGGACAGAGCAGAACGACAGAGCGACTAAACTCATGCAGCGGATAGTTATGGCTGCCATGATTGTTTTAAATATAGGTAGATACTTTATTGATCCCTGAAAGAAAAATACAGTTGTCCAGTAGCAGCAAAAACACATCCAAACTAACTAACATATGTCTAAAAATAGCTAACAATTAAAATGGCTAACAATTTAAAAACATAGCTAGCGGCCACAGGAGCAGGTGGAGCCGCCGCTGGGTTGTTTTTTGTTATTGTTTTGATGTGAGCAGGGGTTTCAAAGTGAGAGTAAAGTTTTGTTTGTCTTGTTCGTCCTTGAGCAGGAAGCCATTTTCTGCAGCAACACAACAACAATAGCCTCTGTGTCCTTTGATGGAGGTGGCTCTGACTGGGGCTTTGTGTTTTGTCCCAGGATCATTCACACGACGTGGGTGTACCCGCTGACGCTCTACCCGCCCTTCTTCGGCTTCTACTTCTTCAACGGGCTGCTGCTGGTGCTGCTGGCGCTGCACGTGTTCTGGGCCGTGCTCATCCTCCGCATGGTCGTCAAGTTCCTCCCCGCAAACGTAAGCACAGAACCAGGATGGAGAAGGAGATACGCAAAAACCCACAGAAATGTGTAATAAAGAAGGAAAAAAACAGGTATAAAGGAGGATTTTCCAAAGTTTTAGGAAAGAACTGCCCTCTCCACTTTTTTAACATAACTTTCTGCTCTAAGTTGGACGAGCACGTATCACCAGAATGATTGACAAGTGGGAGGACCAATAGACTTGGTGATCCACCCGGAAGTAGAAAATCCTCTTGTATACCTTTTTAAAGATGTAGTCATGGATTTATTTCCAGACGCATTTTTTAAAATATTGTGGAAAACGTCCCTAAATACTAAAAGTATCAAGTTATCATGTTTTCAAATAGTAACGGAATTGACCAGATGCCCATAGTCTCCAAAATTTTATAAAAAATATTTTGGAGCGGAGCAGAGGCTCCGTGAAAACAAACAACTGAGCATGAGCAGCTACAAGCACGATCACTTTAACTGACTGGGGCTAATGCAGCTAACACATGAACAAATGTGTTTTTTCACATGTTCCCGCGGCCGAAAAATCCACTGAAGGCCAAAGACATTAGTTTCTTCAGCGGCGATGGATGTGACTGCGTCCTAAATATTCTGGTTTCTGCTCTTGGCAGACGCAGATCTGAGGCTGTGGCCTTTTTATGAAATGTGCTAAACCTGAGTTAAATCTAAACTTCTTGACTTCATGTTTTTGTCAGAACATCGTTGAAGACGAACGAAGCGACAAAGAAGAGTCTGAGTCCGAGGACGAATGCGGCGACTCCATAAAAGACAAACCTACAAACGGACACGTGTCGAACGGCCACACGCTCAACAACAACCACCGCAAACTGGACTGACGCCGCTCAACAACAACCACCGCAAACTGGACTGACGCCGCTCAACAACAACCGCCGCAAACTGGACTGACGCCGCTCAACAACAACCGCCGCAAACTGGACTGACGCCGCTCAACAACAACCGCCGCAAACTGGACTGACGCCGCTCAACAACAACCGCCGCAAACTGGACTGACGCCGCTCAACAACAACCGCCGCAAACTGGACTGACGCCGCTCAACAACAACCACCGCAAACTGGACTGACGCCGCTCAACAACAACCGCCGCAAACTGGACTGACGCCGCTCAACAACAACCGCCGCAAACTGGACTGACGCCGCAAACTGGACTGACGCTGCTCAACAACCGCCGCAAACTGGACTGACGCCGCTCAACCACCACCGCCGCAAACTGGACTGACGCCGCAAACTGGACTGACGCCGCTCAACCACCACCGCCGCAAACTGGACTGACGCCGCAAACTGGACTGACGCCGCTCAACAACAACCGCCGCAAACTGGACTGACGCCGCAAACTGGACTGACGCTGCTCAACAACCGCCGCAAACTGGACTGACGCCGCTCAACCACCACCGCCGCAAACTGGACTGACGCCGCAAACTGGACTGACGCCGCTCAACCACCACCGCCGCAAACTGGACTGACGCCGCAAACTGGACTGACGCCGCTCAACAACAACCACCGCAAACTGGACTGACGCCGCTCAACAACAACCACCGCAAACTGGACTGACGCCGCTCAACAACCACCGCCGCAAACTGGACTGACGCCGCTCAACAACAACCACCGCCGCAAACTGGACTGACGCCGCTCAACAACAACCGCCGCAAACTGGACTGACGCCGCTCAACAACAACCACCGCCGCAAACTGGACTGACGCCGCTCAACAACAACCGCCGCAAACTGGACTGACGCCGCTCAACAACAACCGCCGCAAACTGGACTGACGCCGCTCAACAACAACCACCGCAAACTGGACTGACGCCGCTCAACAACAACCACCGCCGCAAACTGGACTGACGCCGCTCAACAACCACCGCCGCAAACTGGACTGACGCCGCTCAACAACAACCACCGCCGCAAACTGGACTGACGCCGCTCAACAACAACCGCCGCAAACTGGACTGACGCCGCTCAACAACAACCACCGCCGCAAACTGGACTGACGCCGCTCAACAACAACCGCCGCAAACTGGACTGACGCCGCTCAACAACAACCGCCGCAAACTGGACTGACGCCGCTCAACAACAACCGCCGCAAACTGGACTGACGCCGCTCAACAACAACCACCGCAAACTGGACTGACGCCGCTCAACAACAACCGCCGCAAACTGGACTGACGCCGCTCAACAACAACCGCCGCAAACTGGACTGACGCCGCAAACTGGACTGACGCTGCTCAACAACCGCCGCAAACTGGACTGACGCCGCTCAACCACCACCGCCGCAAACTGGACTGACGCCGCAAACTGGACTGACGCCGCTCAACCACCACCGCCGCAAACTGGACTGACGCCGCAAACTGGACTGACGCCGCTCAACAACAACCGCCGCAAACTGGACTGACGCCGCAAACTGGACTGACGCTGCTCAACAACCGCCGCAAACTGGACTGACGCCGCTCAACCACCACCGCCGCAAACTGGACTGACGCCGCAAACTGGACTGACGCCGCTCAACCACCACCGCCGCAAACTGGACTGACGCCGCAAACTGGACTGACGCCGCTCAACAACAACCACCGCAAACTGGACTGACGCCGCTCAACAACAACCACCGCAAACTGGACTGACGCCGCTCAACAACCACCGCCGCAAACTGGACTGACGCCGCTCAACAACAACCACCGCCGCAAACTGGACTGACGCCGCTCAACAACAACCGCCGCAAACTGGACTGACGCCGCTCAACAACAACCACCGCCGCAAACTGGACTGACGCCGCTCAACAACAACCGCCGCAAACTGGACTGACGCCGCTCAACAACAACCGCCGCAAACTGGACTGACGCCGCTCAACAACAACCACCGCAAACTGGACTGACGCCGCTCAACAACAACCACCGCCGCAAACTGGACTGACGCCGCTCAACAACCACCGCCGCAAACTGGACTGACGCCGCTCAACAACAACCACCGCCGCAAACTGGACTGACGCCGCTCAACAACAACCGCCGCAAACTGGACTGACGCCGCTCAACAACAACCACCGCCGCAAACTGGACTGACGCCGCTCAACAACAACCGCCGCAAACTGGACTGACGCCGCTCAACAACAACCGCCGCAAACTGGACTGACGCCGCTCAACAACCACCGCCGCAAACTGGACTGACGCCGCTCAACAACAACCGCCGCAAACTGGACTGACGCCGCTCAACAACCGGCACAAACTGGACTGACGCCGCTCAACAACCGGCACAAACTGGACTGACGCCGCTCAACAACAACCGCCGCAAACTGGACTGACGTCAAACCCGCAGCGCTCGGTCCGAACGCCAAAGATTTAAGGCCAAAAAGAAACATCCCAAAAACCTGTGGCGTCCGTTTGAAGAGAAACCTTTGCACTGTTTTTGAGTCGCACAAAAGCAGCCGCCAAGTGCAACACAAGTGTCTTATTATCCACAACAAATAAGTTTATTTCTGTATCCAGTTTATTCCCACACATCCAGAGGTCTGACAGATCCATGTTTGAAGCTGCGTCACAAACTTCTTTAACGGACGGCGATGCAGTTTCCTCAGTGTTTCTAAATGTTTGTATTAATCATTGACTTTGTGCCTTTGTCAATTCTGACGTTTTGCCGAACAACGCACATCACTGCTCTTTAGTTTTTACTTGATTTAGGCGTTTTTATTTTCGAATCAGTGAAGCCGTTTTGGGAGAAGTTTGTTTGAGAAAATAGTCTTGAATAACAGTTAATGGAACAGTCTGTATCATTTCAGCAGCAGTGTTGGGTTCACATCCTGATGAGCACTTTAACCTGAAAGAACAACATTCTTTAGTTCTTTGGAGCCGTTGATCCTCGAGGCCCGTTTTTTATCAGACGTGACGAAAAAAACAAATTTGACGTTTTATTTTCTAGTCCAGGTCGTGGCCTGTGTTTGTACAAATGTTTTATTTAAAAGAAAATCATTTTTGTCAATGTTAAGTTTACAAGATAACTATATTTCAAGTGCCTTTCATTTCAGTTTCTCAGTAAACTCTTTGATGTCGACTCTTCTTCAATTATGTTTTATTTTCAGTTCAAACAGATAAATATGAATCTGAAGCCGTTTTTTGCCGTTTATATTTCCTCACGCTTTGTCTCCTCGACTCGCTCGGTTGGGTTTAGGTTTTTAGGTCTTCTGTAAAGGTCTAATTACTCCATCCACTCCCACTGATGTCTGCTGCTGCGTCCTTGGGCAAGACACTTAACCCCGCCCTGCCTGAAGCCCCAGCGCAGCCTCCTGTGGACTCGACTGAGGGGGCGGGGCTCTGGGAATGATTGACAGCTCTGATTCCCGCCTCCTCAACCCAGAAATGGACAATGGGAGTAAAGCTGAACGTCTAGTCCACCCTCCGTCTCTGATCGTCTGACAGCGGTTCTCAACAGGTGGGTCGGGGTCAGTTTTAGTTCACAATCCTTTCCTAGCAACATTGTTAAAATGTGTATTAAACAAATGCAAAAAATGTGTTTGGAATAAAATGTAAACCAGGTCCCACTCACAGATCTCATCAAAGACGATTTGACTTCTTTCAACATTTAAAAAGAAAAATCTATTTCCCCGATTCCAGAGATTTGAGATATTTAGTTAATTTGTCTCATTTAGTTTATAGAGGTGGCTGAGTGGAACATGGTCTTCCTGAGTGGAGTTTGCATGTTCTCCCCGTGCCTGTGTAGGTTTCCTCCGTGTACTCCAGTTTCCCCTACCACTATAAACATGCTCACTAGGTTAAAATCTCCAGCTCTGGTCCTGACCAAGCAGAGCATCAACCTCTGGAGATGGGTTCCCGGGCGCTGTTACTACGGCGACCACTGCTCCTGATGTAAGCCTTAGTGGCATCAGAATCTGGGTCAAATGCAGAGGATGGATTGTCCTACGGGGATCAATAAAGTGCACCTTTACCTTTAGTATCTCATGTGTAGTAGATTAATTCTTATCTCGCACACATTGGTGAATATTTATAATGTCTATGAGGCTCAAATTGATCAGAAAACTAAAAACCTTGCAGCAACATTTTCAGTAGTTTCCTGAAAATGTGATAAAAGAGGATTCGTCATTTTGAAGGAAGTTTGTTCTGGATAAAGGGGCAGAGTTCAGAGCCATGTGGCTGTCTTCAGGTGATCTCAGCGTCCTACGGTCACGTGTCCGATCCTCTGTTCCTCATTGATCACACTTTTAGACGGTCATTTTGTTTTATGTCTCACAGTTTAAAGGTGATGTCTGTAACTCCAATTGTATTTTATTTTCCAAAAGAACCAACAGAGAAACGACGGCCATGACCTCGCCGCGTGTGGAAAAAAATATATTTGCTGGAGATTTTAAAAATGTGTGTTTTATCTGATGTAGAATAAACCAGTGTCTGTGCCCACATTACCAGCCTGTCTGTCATCGTGGGCCAGTGAGGCTGGTGTAATGTGGACCGGATGGCACCATGGGCCCGTTACGATATCGGATGGCTCTGGATCCTGGTCACACGAAGGACTTGGCTCTTACTCAAAGGATTAGGGCCCGAGACTGAGCCAAGACCTGGTCACAGAACAAGATGAGTTTTTCATTAACCAGAAGTGGGTCACGAGGGTTGACACGTGTGGCCGCTGCTATGTTCATTCTACTGGACTCCTGAATATCTCCTTCGGGATCAATAAAGTATCATCTATGTGACATCATCTCCTTGTCTCTGGAGGTTATTTTAATGGAAAGTAACTTCAACAATTTCCCAGGGGCAATTAGAAAAAAAAGAAAAGGTTCTTACACATTTTTCTTTTACAAAACCGAAAGTTTGCAATTCTATTCTCCAAAGTAATAATTAAACTAAGTACAAAAATAATAATAATGCGACAGTTTTATACAGCGCTTTTTCTGGACACACAAAGACTCTTCACATGTCATTATTCATTCAGTCCAAACACTGTGGTGATAAACTACTGCTGTAGCCACAGCTGCCCTGGGGCACACTGACAGAAGCGAGGCAACCAGTCTGTGCCATCGGCCCCTCCCACCACCACCAACCATTCACACACACACCAGACTCATTCTGATGTGTTTGGCACTTTACAGCCGCAGCCGCCCCACTGTGGCACGTGGTTATTGTTAAGGATATATATATATAATATATATATATATATATATATATATATTGAATGTGCCAGGTTTCTTTTGTGCATGTCTGGTCCATTCAACAAATGTGTTTTCTTTTCTTTTTGATAATAATTAGTTTGTGTTTGTTGTAGGTTAGTGCATCTCTGCCCTCGCAGTGTCCTCTGCCTCTTTGGCCTAAAGCTGCAGCGGGACGAGGGCCCGGGGCCCGAGGGACTGGAAACCAGAGCCACATTAGCGATTAAATTGTGGAGGCGTGCAGTGGAAACCGACCCCAGCACTTTAAAATGGAGATTGTTACAGTGATGCTGACGGGAGGAGAGCGGAGGATGAGGTCCGAGGTAAACCGATCCCACGACAAGTGCAATTAGAAGAGCCGTCGTGTAGGAGCCGGGCCCCAGAGAGAGTGACAGTGACGGACTGAGTTATTATTATAGACTGTTATTATGAACTATAGGTACTGAGTGGAGCAGGAGTTTGGGATCATGAGGTTTTACTGATGTTCTGCTCTCGACACACACGGAGTCTGAACGAAACATTTAATAATCTCACTTTGTGTTATTTTCACCTTTGTGTACTTGTTTACGTTTGTCTGTTTGTGTGTCTTTATTTTATTGCATTTTACTGGCCAAGGTCACCCAAAGCAATTCTCTCCACACGGTGATGTCAAAGTCGAACATACTGGTCCATCAAAACCTCCGACCAAACACCATTCAATCACTCATTACATTCAGAACTGTTCTACATGCTTTTAGTGGCAGGGGAAACCGGAGCACCTGGAGGAAACCTGTACGCAGACACAGGTAGAACATTCAAACTCCACAGAGGAGAAGGTGTCCTCAGAGGAAATATAAACTGTACCTTCACAATAACAGTCAGTCCACAGTTATGAATTATAAATTGGTTAAAATTATCTGGATTTTAGGGATTTGATCAAATCTATCCAGCAGTTTCATTGTTGTAAAAAAAAATACTTATTTGTGGAAATGTAAAACCACCTGACCAACAACTGTGAACGCACTCTCAAAGGTATATGGGTTGAATCCTGGTTGGAACAGGGCCTTTCTGAGTGGAATTTGCATGTTCTCCCTGTGTTTGTGTAGGTGTGACATGGTCTGACATGTGCCTTCTCCAGTGAGAGACAAACGCCCACAATTGTAAAGTTCTTTGTGAATGAATGAATGAATACTTACTAATTGTCAATCATTCTGGTGATAGTGATACTGTATCTTTAAGCTTTGAATTTGTTGCCAGGTAAGTTTAGCTTTTCATCACATCTTTTCAGCGGCGTCTTCTCCCTTTGAACCAGCCTTGGACCCACCTCCTCCTCCCCCACCTCCCTGCTCTCCCCCATGTAGTGCCTGCAGCAGTTGTCTGTGGAGACCCTCGGAGCTGAGTTCGAGTGAAGCCCGAGTGAATCCAGAGTGAATCCAGAGTGAATCCAGAGTGAATCCAGAGTGACGCCAGTGTGAAGCCAGTGTGTCTCCAGTGTGAATCCAGAGTGAATCCAGAGTGAATCCAGAGTGAATCCAGAGTGAATCCAGAGTGAATCCAGAGTGAATCCAGAGTGACGCCAGTGTGAAGCCAGTGTGAATCCAGAGTGAATCCAGAGTGAATCCAGAGTGAATCCAGAGTGAATCCAGAGTGACGCCAGTGTGACGCCAGTGTGACGCCAGTGTGACGCCAGAGTGAAGCCAGAGTGAAGCCAGAGTGAAGCCAGAGTGAAGCCAGAGTGAAGCCAGAGTGAAGCCAGAGTGAAGCCAGAGTGAAGCCAGTGTGACGCCAGTGTGAAGCCAGAGTGACGCCCGAGTGACGCCAGAGTGACGCCAGAGTGACGCCAGAGTGAAGCCAGTGTGAATCCAGAACGGGCGACAGTGGCGACGTCCTTCTGCGCAGACGCCGCAGAGCGAGGGGTGTCTGAGGCACTTGTGAAGCGTGTAGACGGTTCTCCAATTCCTGCTTAAGTATTAATAAAGAGCTTTACTCCAGCGAGGGGAGGTCAGAAAGTGCAGCTGCAGAGAGAGCACAGACCTGCACGAGTCTGTGGAGAGAGCACAGACCTGCACGAGTCTGTGGAGAGAGCACAGACCTGCACGAGTCTGTGGAGAGAGCACAGACCTGCACGAGTCTGTGGAGAGAGCACAGACCTGCACGAGTCTGTGGAGAGAGCACAGACCTGCACGAGTCTGTGGAGAGAGCACAGACCTGCACGAGTCTGTGGAGAGAGCACAGACCTGCACGAGTCTGTGGAGAGAGCACAGACCTGCACGAGTCTGTGGAGAGAGCACAGACCTGCACGAGTCTGTGGAGAGAGCACAGACCTGCACGAGTCTGTGGAGAGAGCACAGACCTGCACGAGTCTGTGGAGAGAGCACAGACCTGCACGAGTCTGTGGAGAGAGCACAGACCTGCACGAGTCTGTGGAGAGAGCACAGACCTGCACGAGTCTGTGGAGAGAGCACAGACCTGCACGAGTCTGTGGAGAGAGCACAGACCTGCACGAGTCTGTGGAGAGAGCACAGACCTGCACGAGTCTGTGGAGAGAGCACAGACCTGCACGAGTCTGTGGAGAGAGCATAGACCAAACCAGGGACTTTTCAGCTTCAAATCCAACAACACAAAGTTTAACGGTGAGGTTTTAAGGAATATTTTATTATTTCAGGCACGTTGCTGTTTGCTTTAAACTGGCTTTGCTTTTTGTGCTCGATAAGAAACATCTGTGAGTCGTGGAGTTGGACGACTGGAAGCGATTTACTTTTGGAGACAACGGTGAAAGGTCCCACATGGAGAAAAGGGTGAGGTTTTTATGGCTACACTTTGGTGTTTACTGTACAAGGTTTTTTCCTCAAGGCTCACTAAGATTTAAAAGTCAAAAGCCAAACATAGAAGAGGATGATTTTATTATGTGTATTTTTTATTGTGATTACTTTGTTATTTTAGGTCAGGTGAAAATTTATCTTTTTGTTTCTCAATTGATAAAGTTAAAATGTTTTCTGGACTATAAACCTCATCTGTTCACAAACTGCACCAGCGAAAGGTGGAGAGAAAGTACATTATGTCCAAGTATATTGATGTTTTTAACATGGTTTTGTCTCATTTTCGATTCAAATCACGTTTTCTGAATTAGGACGACCCACCTGCAAATGACAACTTCCCACATATCGGGTATTTCCCCCAAAAACAACATTTTCTCGTTATAGAACCTCCTCAGCTGCTCTTTTTACACATGTGTCTAATACATTCATCAGCAGTTTTTGTTTTTTAAAGAGGTCGACACTTTAAAGTTCAAACCCACGTCTCAGAAGCTCCGGGCACAGAAAGAAACCGCTGTGTTCTTAGAATATTTGACCAAAAGTGAAGTAACAACAGTGGCTCAGTTGGTGGAGCATTGGTCTTTGAGCCTGAAGGTCATGGGTTCAAACACACCGTGAGACCTTCTCCTCCGACTCCCACTGATGTCTGTTGTTGTTGTTGTGTCCTTGGGCAAGACACTTAACCCCACTTTGCCTGGAGCCCCCACTGACAGTCTACATACACAGTCTATGGGTGCTGCTGATGCCACCTCCCAGACCCAGAAATGGACAAAGGGGAAGAAGATACTGTAAATGTCAATGTCAATTTTATTTGTATAGCCCATATACAACAACACCAGCTGCTCAAAGTGCTTCACAGGCACGAATGATAAAAATAATAAAACAACATGAAATACACACACATACATGTAAAAAATGAAATGGTAAAAACTCAACTGGTGTTAAAAGCCAAGGTGTAAAAATGTGTCTTTAAACTAGACTTAAAAACATCCAATGAAGGAGCGGCTCTAATGAACAGAGGTAGATTGTTCCACAGTTTGGGAAAAGGCTCGGTCTGATCTGGTCTGGTCTGGTCTGGTCTGGTCTGGTCTGGTCTCCACGAGGTTTGAGACGAGACCGAGGCACGTTCAACAGAAGCTGGTTTTCAGACCTCACTGATCTGACGGGAGCAGACAGAGATAACGGCTCTGACAGATACACAACGGGGCCAAACCATTCAAACATTTAAAAACAAGCATCAGAATCTTCCTCTCCCTCCCTAGTAAAGTAAAAAGAGAAATCAAAAAAAGAAAATCCGCAAATGTTGCACTTTATAATTATTTGCTTTGAGCTGACTTTCAAAAAATTCTTATCGATTGTAAAATTCTAAAAAGTCTGATTTGATGTTTAGTTCAGCCCTCACTCATTAACAGCTAATAAAGTGCTAATGTGTGTGTAATTTATAGTTATTTAGTTCTTAATTGATGGTATTTATTAAGCACTAATTATTCCTTATTCTCCATGGCCTTATTGGACTTGTAACTCACTGCTAACTGGTCTTTTCCCGTGTGGGTTAGGGCTAAGGTTAGGGTTAGGGCCAGGATGCACTGATTAGCACTTGGTTAGGTGCTAATCAGTGAGGGCTAATGTAAATTGTTACCAAACACACTATTCCATGTGTTCCCGTGTTGCTTTTCCCTGTGTCTCAGAAGCACGTGAGGACAGCAGCCTTTTCGGTGGAGACTTGGAGAGAGCTGCTCCGTGTGTGATGGACCCTCAGGCCCCGCGGCCCTTCTCTCAGTTCGAGGTGGACGTGGATTTGGGATTCGCACTTTTCTTCCTCTTCGTTTTGGTGTTCTTCTTGTTTGTGACGGTGGTTCGATGTGCGCAGACTGTGGTGGATCCCTACGGCTCCATCTCCACCTCCACGTACCAAGAAGAGCAGATCACGTGAAAAGACACCGAAAACATGGCCCAGTCACAGACACGTGTTCAGTCCATGTAGCCACACTCGCCCTGAGGCAGCAATGACACATCAACGCCTCTCTGACCACGACTGGTTTCCACGACAACAACCGTCCACTCCAACCGAGGGAATGAGACCAGAATGGATTGTATTGGAATTGGATGTTTTTGTTGTTATAGATAATTATTCATTATTTGGGCGGCACGGTGGCTGGATAGCAGTCTCGTCTCTCAGCAAGAAGCTCCTGGGTTCGAATCTCGGTCGGAACAGGGACTTTCTGAGTGGAATTTGCATGTTCTCCCCATGTCTGTGTAGTTTTCCTCCAGGTGCTCCGGTTTCCCCTACCACTAAAAACATGCACAATAGGTCTGAATGTAAATGAGAGAGTGAATGATGGTGTTGGGTCAGAGGCTTTGATGGACCAGTGTGTTCTGGACTCGCTTCTGTCATCACCGTGTGGAGAAAATGGAACAATATCTGACTCTGAACATTGGAAAGTGCTTTGGGTCCGACCTTGTTCTGTAAAATGCGCTATATAAATAAACAGTACTTTGTTATTTATTGATATTTATTTATTTATATATTTATTTATTTAGAGGTTAAGCCCCTTGAGAGGAATCATCTCGTTTTTGAAGAGGTCCTCAAAATTTCACAAGGACAGATGCAGCAAAACAGATGGAAACAAATAAAAAATAACCTAAGATCAAAAATATTGACATGAATTCTGGAGATATTGTACAAGAGCAGATTTAAACAGAGGCAGAGATTTTAAAAGTCTCAAACTTTTAAAGTACATTATTTAACTCTAACCAAAAAGTGGCCTGTACTAAATATTAGTTTTCTGGTTTTTAGGCTGAAAGAGGTGTAAAGAAAAGGCTGTAGTTATTTTTATCTATTCATGTATTTTTTATAATAATGTGGACTGAATGCCAAAATAAACACTGAACTCCAGAAGGAACTCAGACACATGTACGTGGCCCACAGTTTGAGAAACACTTTGCACAGTGTTTGCAGCATTTGCTTCCTCCTGTCTCTGGATCTGATTGATCGATTATAGATTGAATGATCCATGTCTTCAAACACGTGCAGTGGCTCATGTTAGGGATAGTTTTGGGTACGAGCTCATCAAAGTACAATGACTAATTACTTCATAATAACGTCACTAGATCAAGAAACAAGCAACTTATAATTACAATACTTTTGTCATATAATCATGTAAATAAATCCTGTAATGTGCCTTCACTGCCTCGTTGCTCCTGCTGCTGATAAAAAAACTGAGATTTCCATCGAGCAGAATTCTTTAAGCACATTCAGAAAGCTCCACGTTTAGCTCTGTGTAATCAAATATCTAAATAAAACATTGTTAGTATTTTGTTAGCAAGTGTGATCTAATTTGTAATCTAACTGCAGTCTGAATCTAAACTGTATTTTCAAGAATTACTTCGTTCATACATTGACATTTCAAATCTAATCTGAGTATTTGTAACTGAAAGAGTAACCAGTGAACAAATGTATAACATTTTCTAACTAATGTTGAAGACCGAAGCAGTTAATCACTAAACTAATGAATAGTTATTTACAGTAATAGTGTATGTAGTGTATTTGTCACAGTTAGAAAATCAACAATCCTAGCTTTAATGTGTGATAATACGGGGAACCAGGGGGTGATTTTGTGCTGAAAGGACTCTGTTAAGTAACATTTTATCAATAATTTCATAAATAAAATAGCTATAGATGTCAGAAAGGCTTTAGAAAACAATGTTTAGGTCTGCCCAGACATTTCTGATATATTTATATCTCTAATCTATCACTTGTTCGGATCATGCCATTTTAGAAAGTATTGTATAAAATGTTGTGAACAAATAGTAAATCATATCTTTGTATATTTAGTTTTGATTCTTAATTCTAATACATCCACATTAGATTACAAACATTAGAAGTGAAAGGCAGTGTGATGATTGTTATTATTTAATTTAGCATGTTTGTTCGATGGTCAGATGGTGGCGCTAGTGGGCTGTTCAGCGGGATGCTACGGGAAAAGAAGAAGCCGAAAGACAGTTGCCAAGTCCGCCACATATCCGCCACTTGCTGGAGTTTCTTTTTTGTTGGTTACTGAACATCCTCGTTGTTAAAAGCCATTCCACTTCTTTTGTTTTTATCATAAACTGTACTTCTACTTTATTTATGTAGCGTATTTATAAAACAAGTTTCCATCGAACAAAAGTAACTCATTTGAATATAAGAGTCTGCCAACTTGATGTAACACTTCTACAGCATATATCCATGCATGAAATAAAATACATCTAAAACGTTACGATACAAAAAAAAACAATTAAAATAAAAAATAAAACTCCAACAATTATTTTTTGACTTTTAGCGCTAAATAATACAAGTAAAATCAATTCTTAATCCACAGTAACCCGAAAATAGCTAACATATATTATTATATTCATTTTTGTACTAAAATAGTTGCTCGTTCGTTAAATATCTACAAGAAAAATAAAATGATTTTTTTCTCTGAAAATCTGGCAACCCTGAGTTTCTGTGAGTCGGAGGAAGACAAACGTAACGAAACCTTTTGTTTACAAATGCTCCTAACATGGTTGTGGTTCTTCAGACCCGTGACTCTGGCTGTTAAGAGCATCACAGTTTAGACTAAGGAGGTTACATCTGATCACACTGAACTCAGGTGAGGAATAAAGTACGTAGCGTCCTCGCCCCAAGGCATGCTAACAGAAGCTAACAGAAGCTAAAAGAAGCTAACAGAAGCTAACTAGCATCGCTGTTAAATGCCCGTAAGAGCCAGAGTGACATTTATGACTACAGAAGACAGACGAACTTGTTTGTGTAACAGAACTGGCACTTTTCATCACACTCAGCAGTGAAAAGAGTTTGAGTTATTTTAATCCAAGCTCGGCTCCATTTGCTGCCTGTCATTAAAGTCTCTTTTAGCCAGAGCTGTGTTCACATGATCCGTTATCAATGTATTTACCATTTGGAAGCTCTGATAACAACAGAAGAGACTTATGAGTAACATGTTTCTTTTATTCATGGCAGACTTGTAAACCATGGAGGAAAGGACCAGAAGGATGACTCGGTCCCGCACTAAAGCCAATGGTATGTATTATTATACATATACCATTATATTATTATAAAGCTTAATATATACATATATACATATATTCACGCGCACGTTTTTTATTCATTTGTTCGGCTTTCACATTATGGGCATGAAACGCAAATGGTTGAAAATAATGTAAAAAAGCTATTGAAGGTGTATTTTCAATTATTAGAATCTGCTTTGTCTCAGTGACTGAAGATGTGTTTTTTGGCTGTATTTCAAATTCCTATCATGATCTACATTCAAGGCCATCTTTTGACCCCCCCACAAGGCATGTATGTGGGGAGTGGTGAGGGGCTCAGGTTTTTGAGCAGCAAAAATCTAGAATAAAATGAAATAATGCAGGTAGCAGACCCTATTAGGAAATGTATAATGCATGTAATCTTTTTTATGTGAGATTATTGTAAAATAACACTCTGTGCTTTTTAAAAGTTAATTTCTGTTGTCTTGGCAGGAAACAAATCTACTATGTCCAGTGAGTCTTCTGACTCTGTTGTCCTGGCAGGAAACACATCTACTATGTCCAGTGAGTCTTCTGACTCTGTTGTCCTAGCAGGAAACACATCTACTATGTCCAGTGAATCTTCTGACTCTCCCGAAAACCAACCCGATACACTTCCTAAAAAAGCTATGGTGGTTTTAACTAAACTGCCCCAGTACAAGATAAAGGCTCTGCGGCCACCGACACCTGAGCAGTTTTACAGTGAAGAAGATTCTATGAGCAGCTCAGATTCAGATATGCAGTGGGAACCGGGACGAGACTCGAGCGACTCTGAATTTTCCTTGGCTAACAAGATAACGAAAGAAAAGCTCAAGAAACGCATCAAGATCACTCACGCGTCCTGCAGTGCGAATAATAATCTTTCAGCCGATCCTGTGATAATAACCTCAACACAACAGCTCAGCCAGGCCAACACAGACAACACGAAAGCTCGACCCAAACTCCCAGAGGTAGAGCTCAAACTGGACATGATGGTGGTCGCACGGAAGAAGCCTCTGCGCTGGGAACGGGGCAAAATCGTGGAGATTGTGACAAAAGGTAAAAATGACAGATGCTGTGGAAGAACATTGTTGTTGTCTGTGTAAATAACATTATGAGGGTTTTTCTTTTCTTTTTTTCCAACACAATTTATTGAGCATTTTTTGATTATTCCACATTCATGAACAGGTGGATGACAAACATGCCCTCCCAACATCCCCTCCACCCCCAAATTGAGTACAAATCGTTAAACAAATATTTATATGAGAAAATAAAGAAAAACAAAGACCTAAAATAAAAAAATATATATATATCAAAAAAGAAAAAAAAAATGGTATCCAATATCATAACATATACTAGTGTAGCAAAGCCACGTATACTAGTGGCTTTGCTACAAACCTAGCATCATGTGAGCAGGACACATGGATGCCAATCCAAACACAACCTACAACCAGAAAGAAACCACACTATGCAAGATTGCATAAGATGGGGAAAAAAAATTGAACTTTTATTTTTTATTTTTTTTTAACGCATGGGATATAAGATGTCTGCCTCTCCTCTTCCTTCTCTCCCCTTTCCCTCCCGTCTCTCCCTAGTCAACAGATTATGAGGTCATAGAATTGAAGTATTGGAGTAAGGGATTCCAATGTTGATGACATTTTCTTGTGGTCCCGCTTAATGAATATTTAATCTTTTCCAATTTCAAAAAGGACGTTGTATGTTGTAGCCAGGATGTTGGTAATGGTGGTAACTTATTCTTCCATGAGAGAAGTATTCTACGTTGAGCAATGAGTGATGTGAAACATTTTGAGGCTTTTTCTAATATAAAATATAAGGAAAGCTTGAAGTCAGTGCGGCTGAAACCCTTTCTATAAAATCAGATGAGAGAGAAAGACAATGTAGTGGAGCCTGATCCTTAATAAGAACTGACACCAGAAAAGAGCCGGGGGAGAAACCCTCAAACCACAGCTAAAGTGTTGCATGTGTCCAGGCCTTGTTACAACCTTACTGAAACACAACTGTGAAGTGAATGCAACTCCTGTATCAGGCCAGTTTCGGGAATAACAGCAACTGGCCTCAACTACAGTGTGTTTTCTGACATAAACTGTAGAGGGCGCTATACGTCACATGACAACACTCTCAACACATGTTGTTGGAGCACATCGGGTGATATCTCCGGATCTGAGGACAACTAGTTGCTTTCGGCTTTGAACATGTCAGAGTACTGTTTATGGAAATAGATCGGGACAAAATGTTATGTGTGGCTCAAAACTAATTCAGGACATTATTAGAAGAAAATCTGCTTGAGCTGGGGATTCTACATTAACTCCTTCTATCTGGGCATAAACGCAAGTTTTGCCAGAAACTTTAGCAAGGCACTGTATCCAGTACTTCTGAAAAATCCATGTCGAGACCGACAGATCCATGGGGAGACCGAGACCGACAGATCCACGGGGAGACCGAGACCGACAGATCCATGGGGAGACCGAGACCGACAGATCCACGGGGAGACCGAGACCGACAGATCCATGGGGAGACCGAGACCGACAGATCCATGGGGAGACCGAGACCGACAGATCCATGGGGAGACCGAGACCGACAGATCCATGTTGAGACCGACAGATCCATGTTGAGACCGACAGATCCACGGGGAGACCATAGTTTCCTGATATTGTTTATTGCTTATCACAGTTTCTACTGCATATTTAAAAACAACATTCACGCAACTAATAATTCTAATTAACTAACGCAGTAACAGCACAGTATATCTGACAGCACTAAGTAACACACTTCCTTGATTGATAAATGTGGCTTGTTTACTTGTTAACGTAAACAAAAACTCAAAACACTATAGAAATTTGACCAAGTAGAAAACCAAGAGGAAAAGGTCCGAGGCTCTCTGACTTAAAAACCTTTTATGGTTGCCGGACCTTTTTTTAACTAATTTTTTTAACTAATTTTAAGGCCTTGATTAAAGTTGTCTGGGCCTCTTTGTGTGTTTATGTGTTCTCCAGAGGACGGTCGGCTGAAATACAAAGTTAGTTTCGAGGAGAAGGGGAAGAGCCTCGTTTCCAGGCACCACGTCGCTTTCGACAATCCTCCAAAACTGATCCAGCTCTACGTCGGTGCTCGTGTGGTCGTCCGCTGTCAGGTCAACAAGTACAGATACTGGCCCGGGATTCTAGCTGAGCTCCCCAACAGAAGCAATCGGCTACGGTGAAATAGAAATACTCGACACTAATCCATGTATGTTGTCCTAATGTCCTAAATTACCTTTCTTGAATAGGTTTCTGGTCTTTATTGATGACCACACCCCAGTCTATGTTGGACTACCATTACTTCACCTGGTGTGCAAACAATGTAAGCTACCAAAATCACATATTGATGCAGTATGAGTGTGAAATGGGCACTAACATTACTCTTGTTCTTCTTATGATAGTGGATAATCCCCTCATAGACGTGCCGGAAAGTGCCCACAGGGTTTTCATGGAGCAGTACTTAAAGGATTGGCCCTACCCTCATCTCACCCAGTTCAGAGTGGGGCAGAACCTCAACGCAGAGTTAAACGGAGAGCAGAAGAGATGCGAGGTGCTCGTCGTGGATGGAAGCTTGATTCAAGTTGTGTTCCATGTAAGAGTTTCACGTTTTCCCTCTGGATCTATTTGTCATTGATGATGTTGCAACTTGAGAAATGTAATGCCTTCGACATTGCTCCCAAACCGGTCTGGCCACTCTGGTCACTTTTTATATGTGCCCACTGATCAGACGGAGTCTTGTAACTTTGCCTTAGCACCGGAGGGGGCGGCTCCCGGCTCAAAAGGGTCCATGAGCACTCGCACTGACATGTCTATAATCTGACTCCTTGCCGGTGGAGAGTGGCCCTGCGGCCATTTTAAATCTGCATGTTGATCACACAGACATTTCAACGGAGGAAATGGGCGTTACTATGTTTGTTAATATTTATGTCTATGCTTAGCACTCAAACTTAGAAATATTAATTGTAAATACATTTGCAGTAAATATTATACTTTTTCACATTTTGCCATTTTATGACGACAAACATTGTACAACTGCACAAACATTGATTGTTTTTATATTTGTTTTACCAGACAGCACGAGTTAATGCTGAGTCGAATCCTCAGCTCCAGAAGCTTTTCTTCCAATAATGTCCTGTATTTTTCTCCATCCACCTCTGACACTCATCCCTGTTCCTGCTAAAGAAAAGCAGTCCCATAACATGATGCTGCCACTCCCATATTTGATGCTTGTGGACTGAGAGAGACGAGCAGTGTTAGTTTAGAGCAAAACATAACGTTTTCCATTTGGGCCATAAGTATAGTTTTGGTCTCATCTGTCGGCTTCACTTTCTTCCACCTGCCCCCGAGGAAGCCCAGTGGCTAAAATGTGTTGATTTTGATACTATAAAAACATACTCCTATACTAAGTAAGTAAGTAAGTAAGTAAGTGAAGTTTATTTGTATAGCGCCTTTCACAGACCAGGGTCACAAAGTGCTTCACAGATTAAAACACATAAAATACACATACAAGTCAGATAAAAGCAGAACACAGAAAACAGTTTACATTCACAGAGGCCTATGAACAGTGAGGAGAGAAAGACTGTCTAAACAAATACGTCTTTAGTTGGGACTTAAAATCATCGACAGTCTCTAAGATACGCAGAGACTGAGGAAGCTCATTCCAGAGGCGAGGAGCAACTGCCTGGATCTGTCTCCTCTGGTTTTAAAGCGAGTGCGGGGGACCATCAACAGGTTCTGAGTGGAGGACCATCAACAGGTTCTGAGTGGAGGACCTCAGGGTTCTGTTGGAGACATAGGGGTGGATCAGGCCCTGGATGTATTCAGGCGCCTGACCATGAAGAGCCCTGAATGTCAGCACCAGTATTTTAAAATGGATTCTGTGTGAGACAGGGAGCCAGTGTAAGGACTTCAAGACAGGGTTAATGTGGGCTCTCCTGTGGGTGCTCTTTCCTGTGGGTGCTCTCTCCTGTGGGTGCTCTCTCCTGTGGGTGCTCTCCTGTGGGTGCTCTCTCCTGTGGGTGCTCTCTCCTGTGGGTGCTCTCTCCTGTGGGTGCTCTCTCCTGTGGGTGCTCTTCTGTGGGTGCTCTTCTGTGGGTGCTCTCCTGTGGGTGCTCTCTCCTGTGGGTGCTCTCTCCTGTGGGTGCTCTCTCCTGTGGGTGCTCTCTCCTGTGGGTGCTCTCTCCTGTGGATGCTCTCCTGTGGGTGCTCTCCTGTGGGTGCTCTCTCCTGTGGGTGCTCTCTCCTGTGGGTGCTCTCTCCTGTGGGTGCTCTCTCCTGTGGGTGCTCTCTCCTGTGGGTGCTCTTCTGTGGGTGCTCTTCTGTGGGTGCTCTTCTGTGGGTGCTCTCCTGTGGGTGCTCTCCTGTGGGTGCTCTCTCCTGTGGGTGCTCTCTCCTGTGGGTGCTCTCTCCTGTGGGTGCTCTCTCCTGTGGGTGCTCTTCTGTGGGTGCTCTTCTGTGGGTGCTCTCCTGTGGGTGCTCTCCTGTGGGTGCTCTCTCCTGTGGGTGCTCTCTCCTGTGGGTGCTCTCTCCTGTGGGTGCTCTCTCCTGTGGGTGCTCTCTCCTGTGGGTGCTCTCTCCTGTGGGTGCTCTCTCCTGTGGGTGCTCTCTCCTGTGGGTGCTCTCTCCTGTGGGTGCTCTCTCCTGTGGGTGCTCTCTCCTGTGGGTGCTCTCCTGTGGGTGCTCTCTCCTGTGGGTGCTCTTCTGTGGGTGCACTTCTGTGGGTGCTCTCTCCTGTGGGTGCTCTCTCCTGTGGGTGCTCTCTCCTGTGGGTGCTCTCCTGTGGGTGCTCTCTCCTGTGGGTGCTCTCCTGTGGGTGCGGGTCAAAAGCCTCGCAGCAGAATTTTGGACGACTTGTAAACGAGCCAGGTCTTTCTTATTAAGACATGTAAGCAGCTGTTACAGTAGTCCAATCGCGAGGAAACAAAAGCGTGTACAATCATCTCCAGCTCCTGACCTGAGACCATGTGGCTGAGACCATGTGGCTGAGACCATGTGGCTGAGCTTGGAGATGTTGCGCAGGTGGAAATTACAGTTTTGTTTGGTGTGTCGTTCTAGGGACATCCCTTCATCAAAAGTGACTCCAAGGTTCCTCAGACTCTTTTTTTACAGAGCTACTTAGGTCACCAAGGTGCTGAGTAATGACAGACACAATACTGTCTGGGGCTACAACTAAGGGGTCTGTTTTACTAGAGTTCAGCTGGAGGCTATTTTCACTAAGCCATATCTTTATTCTATACTTTATTCTATACTTCTTTATCAGAATCAGAATCAGAATCATTTTTATTGCCACGTAAGTAACAGGAGGTCACAGACTTGGAAATTGCTTTGGCACAGTGCAACAGTCAAAAAGAGATAATAAAAATAAGAATACTGACATTGATACCAAGGCAATTATTCAAAAAGGCTCTTTCAAGACAACACATTCTTAACAATAATGTTTAGATAGATAGATAGATAGATAGGTACTTTATTGATCCCCGTAGGAGAAATTCAGGTGTCTGAAAGTGAACTAGTTTTCCACACGTCGATCTTCAGGCCTGGCTTTTGCCTATTACATTTATCAGATCAGTTCAACACCCCAAGATTCTTCTAACTTTCAACTTCTCGTCTGTTTCCTGTTTTGCAGGAAAGCCAGTTCAAGGAATGGATCCACAGAGGCTCCACACGCCTGGAACACATGGCAAGATTTCTAGAATTAAAATCCTGCTAGAACATGGTTTGGATTTAGAGTTATGTCGGGGGACTTTTAACAACATAGACGTGTTGTTGAATTGTCATCTCCATTTCTTAATTTGTTGAATTTTCATGTTTATTTTCCAAATGTGTTTTCATAAATGACAGCATTGTTATTGCAGCGCACTTTGTTTTTCTGTGACTATAGTGTAATATAATGAGTTATAAATGCATACAGCGGTCTCATTCATACATCATGACTTGTTTTTCTAACATATTGCAGTGATGACAAACGTGACGGGGACAGGCACCGCAGACGGACACTTAAGCAAACAAATGCTTTTATTTTAGGTTGTTTTGTTTTTGGCTGATGTTTAGCGCAGGGACCTTACAATCTCATTGATTTCCTGACTCCTTGATCTTGGCATTTACATGTGAACTTTTCTGAAACATAATGAAAAAAAACCCCAAACATTGCACATTGTTTCATAGTTGCCCACATTGAAGGTTACTCCTGCTGGGTTATGTCAATAATGTTTCTCTAGTTTTTTTTGTGTTGATTTAAAATGTGTTGTTAGAGAGCCCTGTGGTAAAAAAGGATAAGGGTGTACGACAAAATGACTATTTCTCAACCTGTTGAATGTGTTTCCCTGTCCGATGTACATCAAATCAATAAATGTAACAATAAAACCCTCAATTATCCTTTTTCCTTATTTCGTATGCATTTTCTGGGCGGTACGATAACCCAGACCGTATTGCGTTGCTGCAAGAAGGTCCTGGGTTCGATTCCATCCCAGGCCTTTCAGTGTGCCGTTTGCATGTTCTTCCGGTGTCTGCATAGGTTTACACTTACCCCTAAAAATATGTGCTGTGAATCAAATTGTCCCATTGGGGACATTAAATAAAGTGAAGTGAAGTAAAACATTGCAATTATGATAAAAATTACAATAAAATTGATGTTAAAATACGGTAAAATAGTACAATTTTAGTTTAAAAGTATTTAGTCATTATTCTTAAAATGATTAGATATAACTTGGTTTATTGAAATGTATATTTTTCCCAAAGGTTTTTGACCTGCTGCTGCTGCTGCTACTAATAACAATAAAAAGTTTAAGCTGAGTTGAAACTGCGTCTTTGTGTACATTGGTTTTTCAAGTCGAACCTGCATTCAGACAACAAAACTTTGAAAGACTTGACAAACAAAATCCCATTCATAATTTTGAAGTATACTTATCCAATTCATAAATTCATGAGGCGCAGATTTAAATTGGATGTTGTAGCTTTTAATTACAGCACACACCGATACACTTCTATTTTCTGTCATCTGTGTGTCAACATTTAACACAATTGTGAAATTCTATGTTTAATCATGAAATTGTATAGTTTTATATCAAAGTGTTTTCATATGATGTGTTTTCCTGAGGTCAAAGAGTTTACTGTAAATCAATGGACAATAGATTGCCTTGAATATGTTCTTTTCAGAAAGACTAGACCATAGACTGTAGCTAGACCAGGGTCTCAGTCGGTCTTACCTATAGAATGTATATATTAAAGTCTTACCATATATGGATGATGAGGCAGTCTAATTCATATTTAATTGTAAAGAAACGTATATATTGTTTTATTTGAACTCTGAAAGTCTTGGTAATACTGTGGACAAAAGTGGATTGTGTGTGTGGATTTTCTAAAGGTAACAGAAAGTATCAAATAAATGCCCCAAACGTGAATCATTTTTAAGTTTGTCTTGATATATGAATGTGTTGAACTTAATTTGACTTAATAAAAAGTAAAGTCTTCCTGGCAGTCAGTGGCGGGAATGCAGAATGTGCTCAAGGTTGGAAGCTTCTAGTGAATTTGGAGCGAACACAGTGGGCCGAGAGGGAATCAACTCCTGGATCAATTATCTAAATACAAAAGCCAAGAAATTGGCATCTGACAAATATTTCTGTGCGAATCAGGGCACATATTTTCCGGAGACTGAACTTAAAAAAGTATGTAACAGCTACGTTTGCCAACCGTACCGTTAGCCTGTTATTAGTTAGCACCTAACCGTTAGCCTGTTATTAGTTAGCACCTAACCGTTAGCCTGTTATTAGTTAGCACCTAACCGTTAGCCTGTTATAGTTAGCACCTAACCGTTAGCCTGTTATTAGTTAGCACCTAACCGTTAGCCTGTCATTAGTTAGCACCTAACTGTTAGCCTGTCATTAGTTAGCACCTAACTGTTAGCCTGTCATTAGTTAGCACCTAACCGTTAGCCTGTTTATTAGTTAGGCACCTAACCGTTAGCCTGTTATTAGTTAGCACCTAACTGTTAGCCTGTCATTAGTTAGCACCTAACCGTTAGCCTGTTATTAGTATAGCACCTAACCGTTAGCCTGTTATTAGTTAGCACCTAACCGTTAGCCTGTTATTAGTTAGCACCTAACCGTTATCCTGTTATTAGTTAGTACCTAACCGTTAGCCTGTCATTTAGTTAGCACCTAACCGTTAGCCTGTTATTAGTTAGCACCTAACTGTTAGCCTGTTATTAGTTAGCCACCTAACCGTTACCTGTTATTAGTTAGCACCTAACTGTTAGCCTGTTTATAGTTAGCACCTAACTGTTAGCCTGTCATTAGTTAGCACCTAACCGTTAGCCTGGTTATTAGTTAGCACCTAACTGTTAGCCTGTCATTAGTTAGCACCTAACCGTTAGCCTGTTATTAGTTAGCACCTAACTGTTAGCCTGTCATTAGTTAGCACCTAACCGTTAGCCTGTTATTAGTTAGCACCTAACCGTTAGCCTGTTATTAGTTAGCACCTAACTGTTTAGCCTGTCATTAGTTAGCACCTAACCGTTAGCCTGTTATTAGTTAGCACCTAACTGTTATAGCCTGATTATTAGTTAGCACCTAACCGTTAGCCTGTTATTAGTTAGCACCTAAACTGTTAGCCTGTTATTAGTTAGCACCTAACCGTTAGCCTGTCATTAGTTAGCACCTAACCGTTAGCCTGTTATTAGTTAGCACCTAACCGTTAGCCTGTTTATTAGTTAGCACCTAACTGTTAGTCCTGTTATTAGTTAGTACCCTAACCGTTAGCCTGTCATTAGTTAGCACCTAACCGTTAGCCTGTTATTAGTTAGCACCTAACCGTTAGCCTGTCATTAGTTAGCACCTAACTGTTAGCCGTTATTAGTTAGCACCTAACCGTTAGCCTGTTATTAGTTAGCACCTAACTGTTAGCCTGTCATTAGTTAGCACCTAACCGTTAGCCTGTTATTAGTTAGCACCTAACCGTAGCCTGTCATTAGTTAGCACCTAACTGTTAGCCTGTTATTAGTTAGCACCTAACCGTTAGCCTGTTTATTAGTTAGCACCTAACTGTTAGCCTGTTATTAGTTAGCACCTAACTGTTAGCCTGTCATTAGTTAGCACCTAACTGTTAGCCTGTTATTAGTTAGCACCTAACCGTTAGCCTGTTATTAGTTAGCACCTAACTGTTAGCCTGTTATTAGTTAGCACCTAACCGTTTAGCCTGTCATTAGTTAGCACCTAACCGTTAGCCTGTCATTAGTTAGCACCTAACCGTTAGCCTGTCATTAGTTAAGCACCTAACTGTTAGCCTGTTATTAGTTAGCACCTAACCGTTTAGCCTGCATTAGTTTAGCACCTAACTGTTAGCCTGTTAATTAGTTAAGCACCTAACCGTTAGCCTGTTATTAGTTAGCACCTAACCGTTAGCCTGTTATTAGTTAGCACCTAACTGTTAGCCTGTTATTAGTTAGCACCTAACCGTTAGCCTGTCATTAGTTAGCACCTACTGTTTTACTGCACCTAACTGTTAGCCTGTTATTAGTTAGCACCTAACTGTTAGCCTGTTATTAGTTAGCACCTAACTGTTAGCCTGTTAGCCTGTTTTAGTTAGCACCTAACTGTTAGCCTGTTATTAGTTAGCACCTAACTGTTAGCCTGTCATTAGTTAGCACCTAACCGTTAGCCTGTCATTAGTTAGCACCTAACCGTTAGCCTGTCATTAGTTAGCACCTAACCGTTAGCCTGTCATTAGTTAGCACCTAACCGTTAGCCTGTCATTAGTTAGCACCTAACCGTTAGCCTGTCATTAGTTAGCACCTAACCGTTAGCCTGTCATTAGTTAGCACCTAACCGTTAGCCTGTCATTAGTTAGCACCTAACTGTTAGCCTGTTATTAGTTAGCACCTAACCGTTAGCCTGTCATTAGTTAGCACCTAACCGTTAGCCTGTTATTAGTTAGCACCTAACCGTTAGCCTGTCATTAGTTAGCACCTAACTGTTAGCCTGTTATTAGTTAGCACCTAACCGTTAGCCTGTTATTAGTTAGCACCTAACCGTTAGCCTGTCATTAGTTAGCACCTAACCGTTAGCCTGTTATTAGTTAGCACCTAACCGTTAGCCTGTTATTAGTTAGCACCTAACCGTTAGCCTGTTATTAGTTAGCACCTAACCGTTAGCCTGTCATTAGTTAGCACCTAACTGTTAGCCTGTTATTAGTTAGCACCTAACCGTTAGCCTGTTATTAGTTAGCACCTAACCGTTAGCCTGTTATTAGTTAGCACCTAACTGTTAGCCTGTCATTAGTTAGCACCTAACTGTTAGCCTGTTATTAGTTAGCACCTAACCGTTAGCCTGTTATTAGTTAGCACCTAACCGTTAGCCTGTCATTAGTTAGCACCTAACCGTTAGCCTGTTATTAGTTAGCACCTAACCGTTAGCCTGTTATTAGTTAGCACCTAACTGTTAGCCTGTTATTAGTTAGCACCTAACCGTTAGCCTGTTATTAGTTAGCACCTAACCGTTAGCCTGTTATTAGTTAGCACCTAACCGTTAGCCTGTCATTAGTTAGCACCTAACCGTTAGCCTGTCATTAGTTAGCACCTAACCGTTAGCCTGTTATTAGTTAGCACCTAACCGTTAGCCTGTCATTAGTTAGCACCTAACCGTTAGCCTGTCATTAGTTAGCACCTAACCGTTAGCCTGTTATTAGTTAGCACCTAACCGTTAGCCTGTTATTAGTTAGCACCTAACCGTTAGCCTGTTATTAGTTAGCACCTAACCGTTAGCCTGTCATTAGTTAGCACCTAACCGTTAGCCTGTCATTAGTTAGCACCTAACCGTTAGCCTGTCATTAGTTAGCACCTAACCGTTAGCCTGTTATTAGTTAGCACCTAACCGTTAGCCTGTCATTAGTTAGCACCTAACCGTTAGCCTGTTATTAGTTAGCACCTAACCGTTAGCCTGTCATTAGTTAGCACCTAACCGTTAG